GGAATCTAATGGTATTAAGACAGCAGATAATAGTTGAACAATTTTTGCATTCCCACAAAATTCATATTGCGTGTGTTACAGAAACACACTTAGTACTAAATGAAAAATTTAAAATACCAGGTTCTAAAATATATAGAAACGATAGAACCTCACAAGTAGCTTCAGGAGGTGTAGCCATACTAGTATCTAACAACTTTAAGCATCAAGCGATTCACAGTCCAAACACCCCAAAACTCGAAACAATAGCAATAAAAGTAGATATAGATGTATAGCATCAAGCGATTCACAGTCCAAACACCCCAAAACTCGAAACAATAGCAATAAAAGTAGATATAGGTAGCAATAATAACGAAATAGTTGCGGCATATAAACCACCAAATAAAAAATTCCCATTAAAAGTTTATAATGAAATTTTGAAAAATACCAATAGTAATCTATTAGCTGGCGATTTAAACAGTAAAAATCAAATATGGGGATGCAATACCACTTCCAACCACGGCACAAAATTATTTACCTACGCAGTATCCAAGGATATTCATATTCTGTCCCCCCAATCTCCAACACACTATTCATATAATATTAATGTGATTCCGGATATACTAGATATAGTATTGACTAAAAATTTGAATTTTTTTGCTCTTGAATCAAACAGTATTGCCGGAATTAAACTCAGATCACTCCCTAGTAATTATCAAAATAAACTGCTCCAATTCACCATTAGCTCAAATATTACAACGTAACGAAACCGAAGGACGAATTAATTGGAATACGTTTAAGGAGCAATATAATATAATATACAGGAGCAATATTAATATAATATATAATATACGTTTAAGAAGCACAAAAATATAATATATTCTAGTAAAATTCACACCAACGAGGAATTAGATATGCAAGTGCTGCATATAACTCAATCGATACAGAAAACAATTGAACAGTCAACAACACAATGTTCCGCAAGTATTAAAACTAGAAAAACTGTTCCATTGAAAATAGTAAACCTAATCAAAACTAAACATAACCTTAGACGATATTGGCAAACAACCAGGAGACCAGACCTTAAAGTAAAATGAATAAAATTTCCAGAATAAGTAAATACAGACTGGAACAATTTCGTTATTCTGAATATCAGAATATAATAAAACAAGCTCTCAAAGCCCTCAAAGCCCTCAAAGCACTGACGACATAGGCAATCGCGGCTTTAAGCGTCATTTGCAATTCGGCATTAAGATTAGGCCATTTTCCTAAAAATTGGAAAACTGCTATTATCCTCCCGTTCAACAAATCAAGGAAAGACCCCCGAAATCCATCCAATTATAGACCGATAAGTTTACTTCCAACTCTTGGCAAATTATTCGAGAAGCTAATATATACACGTATAAATAAATATGTTACAGAAATAAAGGCTATACCTAATACTCAATTCGGATTTAGAAATAAATACTCAACAACGCACCAACTCCTGAGACTTTCAGAATTCATGGCTAATGCTTTCCATCAACACAAACTCACCTTAGCAATATTTCTAGACATTGAAAAGGCATTTGACAAAATGTAGCACCCCGGATTACTATTTAAACTACAACGTCGAGGTTTACCAAACTACCTCTATAAAATTATCGACAGCTTTCTAGCACATCGCCATTTTCTGGTAAGAATCAATTCTACTTATTCTAATCAATGTCAACCTAGAGCCAGTGTCCCTCAAGGATCATGCCTATCACCTTTACTTTTCAGCATATACTTATAGGATATCCCAAAACCAATTGACCCAAAAATCGCCCTCTTCGCTGACAATACCGCTTTATTCACAACCCACGAGGATATACTCTGTGCTTATGACAACCTTCAGAACGACTTAACATATATCACCGGGTCTGAACAGTGGAGAATCAAAATAAACTGGCTCAAATCTCAAGTAACAATCTTCACACTTCGAAGACAACCGACCCCTCCCCCCCTTAAAATTCAAAATTCAATAATAAAATGGCTTCCCAAACAACAAGCAGTTAAATATTTACGACTAATGTTTGGTGCAAAATTAACTTGGAAAGACCACATCAAAACAGTTGCAAACAAAACGCACGAATAAATTGCTAAACTTTATCCTCTTTTAAACTCTAAATCAGCTTTAAGTATTGAATGTGGAACTACAATTTATAAATCGATATTACGACCGACAATCTCGTATGCTAGCCCAATTTGGTGTAATGCATCAAAAACACACATCGAAAAATTACAAATCATTCAAAATAAATGTTTAAGAAAAATAACTAAATCTCCCTGGTTTATTAGTAACAAACAACTTCACAGAGAATTACGAATTGAGTCAATACAAGAGCACATCCTAAAATTCTCGAACAGGTTCTTTGACACTCTTTCAGGATCTCCAGCCACGTTCAACTTCAAACTCGGCAAAAACGACCCAAAACCAAATAGAATATGCTCACGATTTCCCAAGGATAAACTCAGACCTCCATAAATACTCAACGTCATTAAATTCCCAACAGCTATATAAAATAATAACATATAAATATTTTATTCAATGAAATATAAAAATAAATTCACATCAAATCAGTTTTTTTTTTCAAAATTATACACTGAACACAGCCTGAAATATTCAGGACAATTAGCGTGAGAACGAATGTCAAAGTATTATTTTTGTAAAATGTTAATACCCCTGAAAGGCAGCAATGCCGAACAGGAGGAAATAAAAAAAATTGCTTATTATTTCCTTCGATGCGGAGCTCAATATACACGACATGGCATAAGTTATCGACGGAAATACGAAAACACTCTAATATTGTTACATGCTTTCTTATGAATGGGAGCTTTGCAAGTTAAATATGAGAAGAGAGCGTCGTTTTAACATCTAATTAATTATTAAATTAGTAAAATTTTCATAATGATTTGAATCATAAAACTATCTTGTTTGTACTACAGGCGCTAACTTGTTCTATGATCTCGGAACCAAAACCCCCGGTATTTTTGACGCTGCTTTATCATGCGTTATTTGTGCACCCTTACAACGTCCTTGGTGATTAAATAACTATTTTAAAAGTGAAAGCACTTCATTCTCTTCACTTTCAAGTACACGTTCTTATAAGTATCATTTTGGATGAGGAGGGGGAAAGTGTTAATGAAAAGTATGAAACATGATAAATTACGTGATTTCATTTATTAACTTGTGCAACGTTATACAAATATAAATCACAACAAAGCTTCTATAATAATTTAAAAACACGCATACAGTTGGCATATTGCGCTGGCCAATAGTATTAATAAATACTCTCCAAGTAATTTCTCAATGCTTCTTTGGAAGGAATTTTAGTAACATTCATTGAACTCTTCTCACGCTTTTTGTTTTAATCGAATGCTTTACAGCAGCGATTCGTAGTTTTCTATTTTCACTACACACTTCAATATTTTACTTATATAACTTAAAATATTAAATATCGAGTTCAATACCAAAAACAAAACCTAGGTAGAATGTAGCAGTACGGAAAGTTCTGTTACAAACTGGAAATGGCTATTCTATGTGTATAGGTTTTTCTGGAGATGAGATATAACCAATAATCTGGAGTGCCAAGCTGAAAACAGTGAGGCTTTCGAAAACTAGAGAAAGACATTGGAATGTAGAATCCTACGTACGTCATCTAACCATAATAGTAACTCTCGTAATACGCATATTTATGTCCCTCCTGAAAAAATATATAAATAATGCCATTGATGGAGGGAGTAGACTGATTCTGGCATCACAAATAGGAATCGGTACAACGTAGACTCGGTTCCTGTTTCGATTCTAGAATCAAAAAAGCGCTCAACACCTGCGCTATCAGTATGGGCAATAAATTAAAAGGCTTATAAATAATCAGTTGAGGAGGAAGTCACAAAATTTGGTTGCACCTTGAGACATAAAATACACGAGTACGTTGTTCTCAACCATAGATGTGTGTAATTATTGTGCGTCTTCCCTCTTATAGGCATCACACACCGAAAACATGTGGCCAGTCCTGGTTATAATATTTTGTTTTAAAATGTTTTTGGATAATTTAAAGCTTTTTCCCTGAACGATTTTCACATTTTATTACAAAACAGTGTGTTGCAAAATATTCAGTTCAGTCTTACTGACCAGCGTCTCACACTATAAGAGTTTGTCGCGTATCAATTAAAATGTTTTTAAATTTCTTTGGTAAAACGTTCGTCTTGAATTATTACGTCCGTATTTTGAAGAATATTTTTTCATTGCAGTTGTTTTATAATAACATCTGGGCTGATACATCTTCATCAATGAAAATTAGTCTGCTAAAGGTGCAAGTCTCGTGACATCATAAATTCTCAAAATAATGTAATAAGTTAATCAAAGCCTCCTTCCAATGAATAACTTAAAATGGCGTCCTCGTGATAGCGGCACGACAATTGACTGTCTTCCGCGTCCGTGGGAACGTTAATTGCGAATAGCGATGTGCCATCAGTTCTCCTTTTCATATTTCGCAACCCACAGCTTCCGCTCAAATTCAGTTTTTCAACAGTTCGGTGAAAGCTAAGTTATTCGAAAATAACGGACCAAAGTGCGTCATCGAATGCCTTTTTTCTTTTAGAACAGAAAAAGAATAATTTGTTCTTCCTTGAAAAGAAAAGAGTTTTTAAGGAAACAAAATATTTCCAAATATCTATTCTAAAAGTTGCATCTTTATCTCGTTTCTTTATTTGTCAAACTGCTGCATCTATGTACTCTTTGAAAACTTCGAATGGATAGTTGGTAAAAGTTGCAAAAACAGGAGTTTACATTTAATGATTTCTTTTTATTAACTTATTTTAACCTAATACTTTTGCTTCACGAAGATGAAGTTGTTAAGACATCTTGCAAGCACCAGGCATTTGACAGAAATCGTCATGATGGTAGATTATGAATGTACTGATTTATTGAGGAATATTTTTGTTAATCTCAACATAAGCAGCACGTTGACATGGAAGTGCTAGCCAAATTCGCCATTGCAGAAACTGCAATGGGTTTGTATCCAAGCGTACACTGATATTCGGGTTCCCGATCGGTCAAAGTTGTCTGCTGAATTTACAATGTACGCTTTCTTTTCTGGCAGTGTGTCAGCGCCAGGCTTGAAATCATTGCAGAGATAGCGGTGGGTCTGTTCCCTATCAAATGAGTTCATTAGTGCTCTGGTCATTAGACGACGATCTAAGTCGACGTTGAATTTGACAGGTACCCTTTTTCTTGCGCATGTCGGTAAGGAGTAGACGATTCAGATACTCGTTGAGATACTTGGTGTTCAATTTTGACGATGTCTGCATTCCATTTTGGCGTGTCAGTCGAAATCGAGATATTAGATGATCAGACTTGAGCTATCCATTCTGACGCATTGATTCGACACAAGCGGTCCAATTCGTCATCGAGGTGCTCTGAGTTCAAGGTGTGGGATGTACGCTTTCCTCTTTGCCGTGTACAAGACGCGCAGTCGGTCCAAATCGCTCGTCGAGATGCTTGATGTTCAACAGTGACGATGGTCGTGTTCCCCGTCGGCCTTTCGATGGCGCGCGGATGGTCCAGGTGCCAGACGATCACCTTCCCTTCGGGCGCGTCGGCCCCGAACGGACGGTCCGGGTCGTGGTCGTCGGTGAGTGGTCTGTCGGAGGCTGCGGCGGGGCGTGGAGGCGTGGCGGGTGCGTGGCGGGGGGCGCGGCGTGGGGGTGGAGGTGGGAGGCGCCTACACCTCGTTGCAGGTGAGGAACGCGCTCCTGCAGTCGTCTCCGCTGCGGCCGCGGCGGGACGCGTCGTAGTACTGCGAGAACGGAGCTCCGCCGCCCGTGCGCTCCAGCAGGAAGCTCGTCGCGTACCTGCGCAAGATGGCGGACGCGATTAGTGAGACGTCATCGATAACACATCGATGTTCATTACCAAACAATGAGTTTACCAAACACCGCTGTTAAGAAACATCGATGTTCAAAATTAATAATGTATATAATAATTAATAATAAATACAATAATAATAACAATAATAATAATAATAATAATAATAATAATAAATAATGCTTCGACTAAAATATGTCGATATTTTTAAACATCAATCTTTTAAAGCTGTTTTAGTAACATCTAAAAAAGTTCGTGCATCACAATTTTTTTGTATTCCAGCATTATAAACAACCTTTTACGTTACAAAAAAATTGTTCCTAAAATGACACAGTCTGACATATTTGCCGTTTGTGGCATAAATAATTGCGTCATCAGATATTGGCAATCGCAGCAAGAGAATCGTGGGAAGGTAGAGGTAAACTGAATAGCCGGCCACCGTTTTTTCACTAAGATGACAAATATCCGTGACGTCATAATAAACTCGTTCCCAAAAATTAGCTTTCATTCTCTTATAAATTTATAATGCCGCTATACAAAAAACTACTTATGCAACTCATTTACAATGTTGCTTTATTACATTCGTACAAATTTGAAAACTCTCTCTTACGCCGCTTGTTTTCAAAACATGTACTCGTGTAATAAAACTTAACATTATATTCTGATTGCTTAATGCGCTTTAATATGACGAGTTGATTTTATTAAACTTATATAATATAACCGTAAATATTAAAGATATATTCACAAAATTAATATAAAGTAACCTTATATTGACAACATTTAGGCGAGGTTATTTTTACTTCAATATATTTTCGCTTCCTCAACATAAGTGTACTAACTCTAATTTTGAAAAAGAAAAAAAACGACTTCTCTCATAGGAATGAGAGATTACTCATTGGCCAACTCATTTGAAGGAGGAGACCAGAGATGCAGAAACATCGATACAGTGATATATGAAGGGCAAGGGGTAATGTCAAGAAAAGACACATCAGCAAACCTCTCGCTTACACAAAGAGGATGTCACAGAGCAAATTTTAGAAACATACGGCATTTAGTTGGGTGGAAAACGGCAATTGTTTGCCTATAGCCATATAGAGCAAAAATGTTAACATCGGATTTACATGCATTTATATATGTAATTAATGGTATTTTACATGACATTTGCCCTTGATTTTTATTCACGAATATTGGGGAGGGTAAATTCTGAGGTAAATTCAAGTAAAGATTTCATTTACCTGCCGAACATCTGTGCATTGAGAGTTATCTGAAATGGCAAGTTCTACATGTAAAAATGCATGTAACTCCGTTATATTAAATTTCCCACCACAAGTTCATTGGAAAAAAGTTATACTATTGACCTCCGACATCCTTATCTATCTTATCTCTCTCTCTCTCTCTCTCTCTCTCTCTCTCTCTATATATATATATATATATATATATATATATATATATATATGCATATATAATGGATTGTTTTGAAGCGGAAAACACTTCAATTTTTAGTACTACCAACTTTCGTAAACTCTAAATCTTTATATTATGTAATAAATAAAAAACAATTTATATTATTTAACGGGAGCTAAAATAGGGAGACAGAGGGGTACTCACGCGCCCATCTGGCAGAAGACGGCGCCCTGCGTGTCGGAGGCGCACTCGCGGCTGGCGTCGCACAGCAGCCGCTGCGCGCACGAGTCGTCGCTGGTGCGCAGCGTGCGCACATACCCCTGCGCACACACACAGCGCACCGTCAGCCACCGCTCTCTCGCACAGCGCAGCGCAGCGCAGCAACACCCGTTCATAAAGGATTGGTTGTTTTAGAGATTCTAGACCACCAGGCTCATTAGTTCCGGAGGTGCAGTGGATGTTTTTGGTCGGGAGGTGGCGATGATCGTTTACTCTCCGGCGCCGAGCAACCGTCGGCTAACGAGGTATTCCCCAACCAGGTATCTACCATCAGCGAGCACCGCCCCAGCCGGGCAATCTCTAAGCTCCCAATCGCGTCACAGCATGTGTGATCATGTAGTGCGTAATAGTGTAAGTGTGTGTGTAAAGGAAGAGGATATGACAAGGAAGAGGAAGGAATGTACGCGTGCGGTCCATGGCCCGTTTGGTAGGGTACTCCTCTGTAATTCGCCTGGTTTTGATCGGAGAAACCACGGAAAACTACCGATCAGAGAAGCCATCCACTAGAATTTTCCTCCAGACAGTGACTAAATTTGACCTTGTCGACAAACTAGTATCGTAAATCCTGCAACCGTCTGATCTCTAACCTAGAACCTCCCGATCAAAGGAACTGCAGTGACATCAGTTGATGCCCTGAGCCATCTCTTCCAATTGAGGGATCGGCTATTTCGTGTTTCCGGGCGCGTCAAGGTCATTAGATTCGCAAGGGTAGTGCGTGTCATATCCGTGGTGGTGGTGGTGGTGGTGGTGGTGGTGGTGGTCTGGTATGTGAGATCCGGCTCCTCCCTGCATGCAGTCTTGCAAGGTTTCACCTCCAGGTATCTCCCACCAGCGGGGCACCGCCACGACAACAGCTCTAAGCTCCCGACCAGTCTCCCGACATATGTGGAAGTGTAGTGTACTACAATATTTAAAAACGTTTCAATGACTATTCCACTCGTTAAATTAAAACCAATAGTGTTTAATTATTCATACAAAATGTCCCAATCAGAACACTCAAAACGTTTATCGCTTTTCTATTCTAAAACACTCAAATCTCAAAACGTTTATCGCTCTTCTATTCTATTTTTCTCACTGGTTCTCCCTACTGACCAATCAGAAACTGTGTCTCATATCTTAGGAGGCGGAATACATCGATTGCTATGTCGAATAAACCGCTTATGTAACTTTTTGATGGACATAAACTCATTGATTTTAACATAGTTTTCAGTTATTTTCAATATTTGGCGCATTTTGGGACACTTTTGGACAAGCAATTGTTTCATTCATGGAATAGTTATATTAAATACCAGTCGTGCATTGGAAATTCTCAGATAAATAGCCTCCTCGCTTCGCGAGTCGGAGATTTATAGACAATTTCCCAAGCACTCTTGGTTTTACCTATAATAATCACTTAACAATGTGTGGGTTTATAAGTGAACTTTCTCAGATTCTATTTTATTTTAAGTTTGTATTTATCTGACTTGTATGTATAATTATTGAAAGTGCTATCAAATACTGTTTTATAATACCATATATTTGTCTAATAGCCCTGATAAATGTAAAATAAACACCGAAACATTGGTTTAAACAAATTTTTAAGAATAAATTCATTTTTCTTCAACAAATTTAAGAAGAGAGGATCCGAACAGAAATTCTGTTCTTCCCCTGAAATACATTCTAGAAACGCCCTTCTTTCTTATGTTAAAATTTTGCATGTCGCATTTCCCCGAAAGAAAATTCCGTCTCAGTCCCTTCTTTTGTCTGTGACCGCAGGGACCGTTGCTTTCGTGTGGTTCCTCGCTTCCCAGCATCTCCTCCGAGGAAACCGTGTCGCGGGACCCGTTGGCACCTGTCGTCGCGCGACGCCAGGCAGCTCGAGTGGCGGTGTAACAGTTGACGAGCGGAGGGCGACGACCCTCGCGCATGCGCGCGGTGTCACACCTGCCGCCACACGCCGCCGAACAGTTGAAAAACGCGGGGCGTGTGCCCAGTAGGCCGTTGCTCGTGAAGAGGACACATTAATTATTAAAGTGGGCTCGTTTAAGGCGTGAGATAAGAAGTGCTCTTGTTACGCCCAAAGGAAGCGCTGAATGTGAAATTAGTTGATGGTACGGTACTGGGAGGGAAGAATGAGATCTTTTTTTTTTTAAAGAAAGGACATTTGTACTACTCTACTTTCAAAGATGGATTGATTATTTATTGTTTCACTTCAACTTCTATGGCAATTATTCCCGTACGTGTCATGAATGTTATATCCCGAGAAGTGGAAGTTTTCTCCCCCGCAAGAGAATGAGATCTGGCACCATCCTATATAACTTGCGCGATTTCCCTCCGCCAATTATCTCCCTCAGTGGATCACCAACCCTGTCGGGAGAATATCTTCGCCCCTGACATGTGTGATACTGCAATGCACGTAAGTGTGTATGTATGTATGTGTAAATGTTGAGAATACGAAAGGAAAGATCGCGCGCGGTCCGTGGCCCATTTGTAAGAGAACTGCTCCGAGCTCCGCATGGCGTTGATCGGAGACACCATGGGAAACTACCGACCGGAGCAGCCGGCAACTAGAGTTCTAAATTCGACGTATCTGTTTAGCTAAGGTCGATCTTCCGCCTCTGTAGGGATTCCAGGACTCGGACCCGAGGACCTCCCCAGTAGCGATGTTTCAGAGTCGACTGTCCGTGGCGCTCGAGCGAAATCGTGTGGTGCAGGGCTCTGTTGCTTACCTTGATCATGGTGAGTCCGGCAACGGCCGCTTCGGCGACGGAGTCTCTGCGGCCGATGTTTCTGGCTTCCATGTAGCGGTGGGAGAAGGAGGTCTTGAGGGCGTCCAGGAGATTCACTACGATGTTGATGAACTGCAACATCCACACACTTTAAGGCCCCATCCACGGCTAAAGTCTCATTCACATGAAACATACGTAACGCCCACGTATCGTCAATGTAATGACATCAACGTCACATAACGTCAACGTAACATATCATCAACGTAGCAAAACGTAGTATAACGTCAACATGGCATTATGTCAACGTAGCATAACGGCAAACGAAACATATCGTGAAAGGAAAGTTAGGATACGGTGACATAGCTTAACGCGTGTGTAGTGTAACGTAATGGAATATCAACCATTGGTGTTATTGGTGTTATTTTTCAAAAGTTCAGTGGACTAACATTGATGATTTAACATAATTCTATGTTTTGTCTAACCTATATCTGTTTGTTATTTTCTCTTTATTTGTGACTTGTACTTCCCGAAGATAATAATTACCATTACCTGCATTTCATCATTAATAACTTGTCTTTTAAAATTATTTTTTATCATTGCACAAGTGTCATTATTATGATGGTTTTGTATTGTATTCTCTACCTTGACAAAAAACTTTAGTAACTTAATGTTTTTACCTCACGTTTTTCTTATAAATATTTTTTTCACGCCGCTTTTAGAATAATAACAATATTTTGCATTGTTAAATTATGAACACATATTTAAGTTCTATTCTGATAAACCTATTTCAATGTAATTTCCAGAACTTTGTACTTAGATATATCATCTTGATTACGAAAAGGATTCAAAAGTACAATTCAATACAAATTCAATGTACAATTGAGGAACATAAAACAAAGAGAAATTGGACTCTTCCCATTCGTAATTAATTTACAAGTTTTGAGTCTAAACGTCAGGAAATATCACCGAAAAACGGGAAATTACTAATAATGGCAATTCTACATAGATGGTTTCAGAGGCGGTCTGTGTAGTTCAATGAATATCTTTGCTCTATATTGATCTTTAACGTTCACTTACTATATAAATATCACATTAACAATTCGCTTTTGAAACACATTTTGAAATATTGAATTTTCGAAATCAAGTTGCTACCTGTGAGGAAGACATTTGTTATTGCCTTTGAGACGCAATAGTTGATTTTGTAAAAGAATTTTGTGTAACCCAGTACTAAAAATGACTTATCGTGTGCAAATAAAAATCAGAAACTTGTTTACTGATTTCTATTTAAGATAATTCAAGCTCTAATACATTATTTCATTAATGTATTGATGAAATCTTCAAATGATGTTTCATTTATTAAATTTATTTTGGCATTACTTTAGAGAATAAATTGCTTTGAAATTCACGTTTTTTGTGATTTTAAATTTTTAACTGAAACAAGCATATCAATAGAATCGAAAAGAAAAGAAGAATGCATATTTTCACCGATGCTAAAAAATACAAATTTAACATTAGTGAATTTTAGACTCAGCAAAAATTGAACATTAGTAAGAATTAAAACACTTAATTTTACCAAGAAATAAAATATTTCATGCGAAAGGCAAGTAAGAAGTGTAGGCCTCGCCCTTGTTTGTGCGAAAAGAAGACAGTGAAGAAGGTACTATGCAGTAAATGAGAATAATAACGTAAAATTCAGGGTGAGGACAAGAAAAATGTTTAAAGCTACCTCAAACATGCACCTTGACTTGGTATATGCATGCCCACGATCCAAAGCAAAGAGTAAGCAATGCTCCAGGTGTCTGAAAATGCATCAACCGTTGAACTTACGCTTGATTCAAAAACTGAGCCTTTTTTATCTTATTTGATATTAATGTCCTACTACTGACTTTCTCACGTATCATTGGAGAAATGGAGGAACTTATCGGAATTATCTTTATTTTCAGACACCTGACTGAAGAAGTGACACCGCGCTAGCCCATCAACTCCATAGTGACACTGAACGGGGCAAACAGCACCAGAACTCCATGAATGAAAAATACAACGACTTTCGCACGGCCTCCGGTATTTGCTTCCAATTCAGCTTCCCACAATATGTATATACTTTAATTTTATGAAAAATTGACTGTGATTTCCGACTGCTTGCTCATAATAGTTTTGGCGAGCAAGAGAAATCTATACAACAATAAAAAATTGCCCTTTCAAAAATAGCTCTAATATAGTCTAGTTTCCAGCTGCTTGAGCTGATATTTGAATATTAGCCGTTTCCATGGAGGGCACAGATTATTTATTTAATTCCAAATGGAAAAAAAGCGTTTAGCAAAAAGGAATTGCAATAAAGTAACACGAGAAATATTTGTATCTCGAATAGTTGTTTTCGTTGATAGAGATGTTTTCGTATTACAAATTCCAAATTTATATCTACTAAAAGCAAGAAGTCCATTGGGATGATTCAGAAGAAAATCAATTCTGAAATATAAAACGCCATCTTACGCAAAAAAGAACAAAATTTCACAGGAAAAGTATTCCTGTGAATTACAAACAAAACCACGACTGAAACATTAGGGAAGTTTCACCTGCAAAAGGCATCGAAGTTATTAAATGTTCTAATAAATAATTAAACTATTGGAACCAGTTTGTTCTATAAAGGATGTACTCTTATGATTAAATTTCAAAGTTGTGGCAATCAACGAACATCTATTACTAAAACATGAAACATTTTAGTAATCTTTATTATATTATCTCAAATTCGACATTTTCGAATTAGTTTCTGTTCCTAGCTACTTCTCTGATTTCGTTTCCCAGCTGTTTATTGGAACAGGACCAGATATTTCTCGTTAACAAATTTTGAGAAACGTGCTCATTACTAACTTTATTTATAATTCAACTTAATATTTTAAAACAGCGAAGATAGAAATTTCGAAGGGACAGAAAACTTGCTTAGATTGTACTTCTCTTTCATTCACACAGTTTTTAACTATTTTTTCGCGTTCAATAAATATATGAATAAATAATAGATTTTACGAAATAAGTTTTGTAAGACAGCTTTTTATAATACGAGATTAGAGAATTATGCAATAAAACCAATCGAGATTTTTATTAGGAATGTCACAACGTTTTATCCATTAGTACAAATTCCAATGTATTGCAATGAAATTTAAGTATTCTTCACGAGAAAGAGGAGAGCGTGATGTTGATAGTAGTTACAATGAGGCCGTGAATCTCCCTTGTTCCAATAATAGGTATTAAGTGATTATAGTAAAGTGGGCGATATATTATTAGAACACTATGTTCTAATAACATTTAAGTAAAAAGAGGTTATTATTCAATTGTTATTTAATTTACTTAAGCGTAACATAACTGAGATAAATAATAGTTCAGTTTCGTAAAGTTTAACCCAAGTGGCGAGAACAAATGAAGTCGAACAACTGTTCGTTGTGAGCTCGGCAGTGGCTCCAGGAGGCGCTGGGCTAGCGCGCGTTCTGGCGGCGGAGCAGGCAAACAGCGGCGCGCGCGCGCGAACGGCTGGCACTCACCTCCCCGGCCTGTTTGGCCATGGTGGCGACCTGGTCTGGGTTGCGGTTGCCCAACACGGCGGAGAGCACAGCGGCCAGGATGCCCTGCGGGCCACCCAACCTCTCTCAGAGCTGAGCCACCCCCTCCCCTCCACACCCCCTCTCACAACTCCCCTCCCCACCCTTGTTTCTCCCTGATTCGCTTCCTAACTCTCCACACCCCTACAACACATGTTTCTTTCCTGTTCACGCGAATGGCTCATTTTGCTATTGCCCAATTTAAATGCGATTTGTGACCATCAGCTGGGCGCGGTTATCCAATCAGGAGCTTCGTTACGACTTTATTTTTTGGTAGTGATGCTGTCGATAGTATAACCTCGCCAACAGCTGATGACCTGTCACAAGTCCCTATATTTAAATCGGACAATATCGCGCAATAGTTCTGTAAACGTTCTACTGGGTATAGTGACGAAGTCATATGGAGATCAAAGGAGCCATTTCACCCCAACTACTACTCTACCTACTATATGCAACCAGGAACGGTCAAATGTTCTGCGGGACCTCCAAGCTCAAACTTGTGTTCGGTCCACGAAATAATTTCTCTACATTTACTTCAAAATCTGTACACTCGACCATAAACCATTTGGAATCGAACGTAAAAAAGTATACATTCAATTCGAATATAATATTGTGTACTTAATGTTAGACTTATGAAACATTTATCAAATATAAAAAAAATTAAAAGCAAACTTAAGTACAGCAGACTACTCATTTAACAATTATTATTTTACAGATTCAGACTACTCATTTAACAATTATTATTTTACAGATTCACTCATTTACACTAGCACATGAATAATGTGTTCTTCTTCTTCAAGACAACGTTTTGCTCCTAGTGTTGTCTTATGTGCTTCGCGTTCCCGGCGCTACGATTTGAAGGCTGTGACAAAAGCAGCACAAGACAATCGAAGACTTGTAAATATACTGCCTAGCGAAAGACATGTCTCTCCGAGAATCATGTCAAAATGGCCTCTGCTACTATTGTGCAGTGTCACGAACTATGAACTTCATTATTTCGACAAATTTGCCTGCGTTCACTATTGTGTGAAAGGAATTACTAAATACTTTGTATTACTTCATAAATAATTATATTGTGGAAATAATATTTGTTTTATTAAGTTCCCTGTGGAAATGATACCATTATAAAAGGCACGTATACATCTTCCATTAGAGAAATGGGTTCTAAATAGCTGCGTAACTGCAGTAGAGGAAAATTACTGCTTTCTTATTAAATACTTACGTTCTCGGTACAACTATTGGCTAGCGGAATTTTTTTCAAACTTTCGTACTTCTCTCTTTCACAAGCTCCACGCATCAAATCAGAAAATTATAACTGCACCTAACGGTTACACCTATAGTGTCAGAAACGCTATGTTCGTGTTAAAAACAATTTCAATCTTTTTGCATATCGTATTGAAGTATTCCCGGTAAATCCTTTCATTAGAAGCATTCCATCGCCTTATTTTTATTATAAAGACTGTGTGTCTTTGTAAATAAAATATCCCAAACATGTTGAGTGCAGAAACAAAAAAAAAACACAAAAATTGTACAGTGTCCAACTGTGAAATTACATAAGCCCGCTAATCGTGGCTAATGGAAAAGCAAATAGTACAGAGAGAGAAGAGTGTCTTTAAAAAAAGCTGTGTCTAGTCCAAGCCTTTTGCTCTATATCTAAGAGGAGCATGTTACATGTGCGAACATCTACATTGAGATTGTGCAGCTTTACAAAAAGAATGTACGAAAACCGAGTCACCAAACAATTTAAAATGAAAACACTTTAATTAAACATTAATAATAAGCATTGATTTTAAAAAACCTATTGGTTTGTTTAAAATCAACTCCATCAATTGAAATCAATACAATCAATTTAAATAAATTAAAATCACTTCAACCAGTTCAAAAATCAATTTCAAAGTACGTAACAATATTTTCTATTTATTTCTTTTAAATAAGCGTCTGCAATGCAATTCAAATTGAATTAATAATACTCAATCGTGACATTCTCTAGTTAAGATTGCACTCACTCAAACTAAAGAAGCTGCAACTCTAAACACTATGCGGTTATCATAAAGCACTATGAAGCCACTGAGAAAGTATTGAAGACATTGAATAATTTTACTGTTGCAACTCTTCCGCCTCATATGACATCACCTGAAAGAAAGTTTACCAGAAAAAATAACGGATACGATTCACGATTCATTTTTTTTGTAAAGAGTAGTATCTCGATTATTTCATTTTTTGTGTTGGTCATACATTTTATTATACGCTCACACAAGCAATTTAACAATATCCGAAATAAACAAATTTGTATTAATTGCAAAAAGGTAATGAGTCCGACTTGTATAATAAAATTTCAAGAACAAAACTGAACGATTGCTCATTAAAAGTCGTCAAGCATTACAAATATATCAAGGACATGAACTGTTTTGTTGAAGATAGATCAAAAATAAAATTATCTTGATCTAAACAATACATTTTTCTTTAAATAAGCTTAATTCAGCTTCTAAGAAGCAAACTTTTTGCACAATTTTAAAAATTGTTCACTTCAAATCTAATTAGATTCCTTTCGAAACATAATTTCGTCTCTTTCAGCGTGGAACACGAAACATTTGTGTTCTAAAGACGAACGAAATCTTTCTTTATCCATTATCGTGGAGCGCTTTCGTGGACCGGAAGTGAGCCTACCTGCATGGGGCTGCCGTTGTCAACCTTATCGATGCCGTCTCCGCCGTTACCAGTCCCTCCGGTGATGAAGGCCGAAATGATCTTAAGGCCCATGCTCAACAGGTTGGTCCACGGAGACTGGTACAGGCCCTGAACAGTCACACACGATGAGTATATTCCGTAGAACGTGGATTTTTGGAGAAGAGGTAATAGTTTCGTTTATTTAACTTCAAAAATTAAAACAGTCTTGGTCTTATGGCGTAGAAGTACATTTTCATGAACTTTGAAATTATTACTCCCTCTCTTTTACGTTCTATTATGAATAACTGAACGTTTCGACAAGCTTTGCTAATATGAGATACTAGCTCTGTGTAATAAAAACTATTTGCATCAGGAAATAAAGTACATATTTTGTAACTTATCGTGTTCCATGTGAAGGAATTGACTCACTAATACGAAAACTCAGAGGATGATTTTTTGCTAGTATTATTGACGAAGTAACTAAATTTCCTACTAACCCCTCGTATTGCTCACGAATACGTGCACAGGTAGTAAAGCTATCTTTATGTTTAGAAGAAAAGCAAGGGACCATCTCAGCATTTGCTTCATAGATCAAGAGAAACGAAAAATCTGATCGAGAAGTGTTGGGGACGTGGGATCGTTTAGGAAAGTGGGAGACGTGACGGGAAGTATCGAAACGTGGGGGAACGAGACGTAGGAAGCAGGACGTGACTGGAAATGGCAGGACGTAGCGAGCATGTGGCGAGAACGAGGCGGGAAAGTGGTGGGAACGTACTGAAACGTGGCGGGAGAATGGTGGTGAGGGTCACATGATGAGCACATGACGGAATCTGGGGGAGAATACTGGGGGAGGAATTGGGTGGGACGTGGGGAGAGCGCAAAGAAGTGTAGGGACGTGGGAGCGTAGGGACGTGGGAGCGTAGGGACGTGGGAGAGCATAGGGGAGCTGGGGAATGGGAGCGAGGGAGCGTGTGGAGGTAAGAGCGTGGGGACGTGAGAGCGTAGGGGCGCGGAGGCGGGCGGACGTACCTGGTCGGCGTCGAGGCCGTCTGACTTGGAGGGCGCTGGCTGCTGGGGGCTGAAGAGCAGCTGCATGACGGCGCTCAGCATGCTGGACCAGCTGAAGCCCTCCCCTGCGCCCTGCAACACGCAACGCAACACACTCACCACGCGCACTCTTGCACTGCTCAGGAGGGAATGCTCCCTACATACAAATACAGTAAAACCCCACTATTTTGAACCCCGCAAACTCGAAATTTCGGATAATCCGAAAGAAATTTATGATACAGGAAAAAATAAACAAAATAAATAAAATGCATATGTGTAGTGTAAAGAAAGGTTTTATAATTACTGGAGAACTGAACAACTAATTATTGAAAATGAGTCGAAATAAAACCTTTATTGCACTGGTAACCAAGGGGTGTATCATTTGATTATGTAGCAGTAATTTGCACTTAGAGGAACTAGCAAAATTGGTTAATTTATTTTGTCGTAAGGAATTAAATCTGCTTGATGACGCGATGTGATGATGTGATCGCTACGCTACGTTGCCTATTTTCGTACATCACCCGCTACATTGCGTTGCGTCGGGTAATTCTATAGATGTGTTTGTATATGAACGGTATATTTTTTCGGATAATCCGAACATTTCCGAATCCGAACAGACCACTACCCCAATATGAGAGTTCTGTTCCGCCGTGCTGATACGTTATTTGCGTACACCATAACCTTACGATTGCCCGTTCTATGCAGCGCAAGATTCATCACGAAGCTCGTGACGCAGACACGCACTTAGTTTGAAAAGGCAGATCAGACATCGCTTGCCACTTTGCGGCCTGGCAACGGACGGCAAGAGTCAGTAAAGTGACAACTTGCATCATTAATCAACCAAAAGTAACACAATAAAGGTGTAGTTGAAATAAACAACGCACTATTTAAAAAAAGTAGTTTATGCAATTAGTTTATAATGTTAACCTTTATTGCATGAGTACATGTTTTGAAAACGAGCGAAGTTAGGAGCGATGTTTCAAATATTTACGAATGCAATAAAGCAACATTAGAAACGAATCGCATACGCCATTTTTGTAAAACAGTATTATAAATTTACAAGAGAATCTAACTTAATTTTGCAAAACAACTTTCTTGTGACGTCTTGGATATTTAACATCTGTGCAAGATAACTGTGGTCGGCTGTTCCGTTTACCTCTACCTCCCTACGATTCTTTCACTGCGATTGGCTAAATGTGTGATGATGCAATCATTCGTGCCATAAGATGTGATACGTCATAATTTGTGCCGTAAAATGCCCGATTATGAACGATTTCTGGCTACAGAAAATGTCGTTTAAAGTGCTAGTAAACAGAAAAATGTTTTATGTATCTGTGTCTTCTTTATGATCCATGACATTGCATCAAGTGCTACACAATATTCGATTTCAACGAATGAATTCGATTTTACTGAGTGTATCTCCACTTAGAGACTATTTGCGTAGCGTTAAATACCTTCGCATGTGGTACTTCTGAGCTCCTCTGCGCATGCGCAGTTCGATCTAGGCAAGGGCGGAGGATGAAAAATGGCAGGTGCCTAGGAGCACTGCAAACCGCCACTACTAGCATTTACGTTCTAGGATGTTTGAATCTAGTATAGTACGATAACAAGTGCCTTTGCTTAATATTTTATCTTGACAAAAAAACTTCGATAACAGCCTTAATACAATTAGACTAAATGGGTTTACCACTAGTCTTGTCGTAGATTTGAGTTTCTTTGGAAGAAGAATCACTGAATGACTCCTTCACACGTGTTTCTGAATACAATACACGATTTATCATACGTTCTGAATATAAATAAACTGCAAACAAACTCTTTGAAAAATATTCATTGAAAGTAATATTATTTAATTTATACTTTAATGAGTTTCAAATAATATTAAATGTCATTTCTAATTATTTTCTGTGCCAAATCAAAATTGGTTTAATACTTCCGAACACATTTTTCAAATACAGGTATTCACAAGTACCTAGTACGTATGGACCAATATTATAGTCACAAAAGACTAACAGTAAAATTCATTGTAACATTTACTACTGACCCAACCTTTTTTTTAGAGGTACATTATTAATACAAATTACTAATACTGTTCACTGCTTATGACCTTCAGATCTATTTTTTGCAAGGTACATTTATTGAGGTAATTGTAGCAAGAAAAAATTGTTCAGCATCGACAATAATAATAATAATAATAATAATAATAATAATAATAATAATAATAATAATTCCATCTTCTATAACTAATAAACCCAGTTCAGTAAACTTCAACAAAGGAGCTAGAAAAAGTTATGGTCTTGCAAATGGTGATCCTTATTTGCTGCATTGTCCAAGCATCTTCTGGCAATAAGAGTCTACATTTAGTGCCGGATGGCGTAGAATTTCTCCAATTTACGCAATTTGATGTACTACGAGGAGTATGAATGGCAATGGCCTAAATTTCTCTCGGGGACACAAGCATTCTTTGCATAATAACTTTCCACTCGTGGAACAATATTTCAATGGGCCGTTCGCAACAAAGAAGTTCCGCCCTAACACTGATGCGTCATCTACCAAAAGTAGACTATGTCCGCGTGTCAGAAGCAGTGATTGTTCAAGAGGATCCAAAACCGCCGGGAGAAAGTGCCCCCTCTTAAATTCCTCCCTGCCCAAACTTTCGCTTACAAGTACCGGATACATCCGTTTTCCGGATTTCATATTAAACGTACATTTAAATGTACGTTTAATTAAAAAAATATAAAATTAAATGTGATTTAGTGGCTGTGACTATTGGAGATTGATAATACAGTACGTACAAAGAATGATGGACGGAGACAAAAATAATACTTTCATTTATATTCATTTATTATTTGAACGTATGTATTTTGGGGCGTTTGGAGGTTAACATTGGCATGTGGATGAAAAGGAGATTATTGAAATTAAGGAAGTAATTCTGTCCCCATTAGAAGTGATTTCAATGATTGGAAACAAATAGCTATGATAATTTGCTCGTACATTTTTTGCTTATGCTCGTTTTGTACCATTTCAGTAGTTAATTTATTTACTTTTTTGTTACTATCGTCTTGCTGCTTTGCTATGTTTTGATAAAGGTATAACATTTCATTTTTGGTTTCATTTACAGAGGATGAAGTAATGTATGGCTCTGGATAGCTAATATCATTTATTTATTTGTAAAAATCACACAAGTCTTCTCCTAACATCACTTCCGGGTTTTATGATTTTTACTCGTTAATCTCTGTAATCAGAATTATGATTACTATATGTTTTACGTAATATTATACAGGTATGAAAAATTTACAAAATGGGCTTTTGTACTACTAATCTTTTTCAGGAATCTCTCTGGAATCTGATTCGTATGGTCATGGATTGGGAGAGCTGAGGTGACTAATTTGATTAAAATGTTGAGTTGGACATTCGACATCCACCGAAAATAATTTGTTCCGTTTCAAATTTTTAATAATTGTTGAACCATTAAAAACTAGACTTCGAAAGTTCTATAAACAGGCTCGAAATTAAGTAATGTAGTTGTTCAACAATCAATCAAAGTATTTGGCGTTCTAAGTTCATCCATCCTCCAAATCCATCTTACAAATTCATCCTCCAAATCCGCTCTTGGGCACGTGGTGGTTGCAAGTTTTAAACTTTCCGAAATATTGAAGTTGGTTCACCTGCACATTCCTGACTTGTATTGTCGTGGAGAAAGTAACCCGAGCTCAGGCATTCCCCTGGAATGTCGGCGTCCACACGTGCGTCCTGGAGGCATGACGCATGGACTCTCTCCGGCCGTGACCGTCCCAGCGCTGCCCTGCCCACCCGCCTCCGGGTTCACAGACCTCGCCCGCCCCCCGGACGCCGTGTTTTTCATTCTTTTTCTTTCTTTCTTCCTTTTTCTTTCTTTCTTTCTTTACCTTTTCTTTCATTCTTTCTTTCTTTTTCTTTTCTTTCTTTCTTTCTTTCTGTCTTTCATTGTTCTTTCTTTTCCTTTCTTTATTTTTTCTTTCTTCCGTTTTTCACAAACAGATGAAGCAAATGGAACATGAGATCGCACGAAGGGGGAGGGCAGGGGTAAGAGCTCCCACGTATTAGAAAGTGTTTTGTCGGTCACTGTATAGAGGGTCGACGGAGGAGGAAGACATTATCTTTTCTAGGAACAGTTTTAAAGCTGTTTAAAAGCCATTTATTTTGGAACGTGAAATTCTGATTTCGTTTTACGAAAGTTTCTTCTTTTTGTCCAGCGACTAATACAGGAGCGTTGGGCTTTTCTCCGAAGATTTTGCGATGTACAGTATCGTTAACAGGAAATGTGACTCATTTCAAAAATTGTCTTTTGAAAAGACGTCTTTACCCTGTATTTATTTTGCGATTGGAAACTGTGGATTACTCTAAATAAATGTTTCTAGGTTATTCCAACAAAACATTATGTGGTCAATAATAAATATTTCACAATTTTTTATTATTCCGCTTTTCTCCGAGAATGTCGAAAGGTCATATCTGAACGTTTTGGCCAAAACAAGTATTTGTCCAAATTGTTACTACGTGACACTCTCTGTTTTTTGCTCTATCAAATGCTAAGGTCATATTAGTGATGGGAAGTATTAAAAAAGCCTTTTGAATGAAGTGGTATATGCTCTTTTTATGCAAACTTCTGTCGATACGTGTTCGTGACGAATGTTAAGCATTTAAAGACATATGCACTGCATATATATATATATATATATATATATATAATATTTACATAAAAATATCAATGCACTGAACGCGCCAATAAGTTGAGGATCAACTAAGGAACGTTGTTAACTCTAAACATCGATTTCTCATTCTGAACTCAACTGCAGATACGACCTTTGTGCTTAGCATGGCTGCCGTGGCGGCCCCTACACCTAGGGAATAAGGAAAGACCCTGCTCGTCTTGAAGCAGGAAAATTGTACTTCCGCAGGCGCGTCTCGCTTAACGCCACGAACCTCACTCCCCCTCAACAACTCAACCACTTAACGCAGCGCATGTGTATCTCGTAGAGTTGCGCTTTCGGAAGTACAAAAGAAGTAGAGTTCTTTAAAAAAACGAGTGAGCTGGCTCAGGGAATGAAGTGAAGTAACTGTAGAGTCTTGAACCAGAAGGTCCTAGGGATCGAGTCCCGTCGGTGGCAGGAGTTTCGACACTAGTTAGATATCTAAGTCGAATTCAGCCACTGTTTGGAGGGCTGCTCTGATCGGCAGTTTTTCGTGGTTTCTTCTTCCTTTCGGCGGACCGTGAACCGCGCGTGATCTTTCCTTCCTCTACCGTGTCCTCTCCTCCCCCCTTACTCTCAATAACATGCACTACACTACCACACAAGCCGGGAACTTGAATTTTATCCCGGTTGGGATGGTTCATCACTGGTAAAAGATGCCTGAATTGGGAAAACTCTACAAGTCGAAGTGGATACTTCGCGGCGGGGGAAGAATACCGCCACCTATCGTGATAAAACATACACTACATTTACGGGACTGATGTCCATAGCTGTTGAATCGTCTGGGAACATGAAATAAGCAAACAATCAATTTGTCTCGGAAACAAATGTCCGATGGAAATCTGATTGTACTGAACATATTCACGTAATGATTAGCCTTCATGATTTTTACTAGATTAATTAAAGAACACCGTCTATTATTAATAATACTTTTCTAAACATCCTAACATTTTTTTCAATGCATCACCGTTTTTTAGCACCAACGATATGTCCTGTAATTTAGCTGATAAGATCACGACGCATCCTTAGCTGAAAGCCTAGTGATTCGAACCTCGATCTCAGCGTCTTTCTCGGAAGGGCATCCGTCACGGGGAGCAGGAAGTCGCTTGGAAGTCGTGCGATGACGCATGCGCGTGGGCAGTGGAGCTCTCTCCGCGCAGCAGCTCCGGGTTCACTCATCGCATCCCCAACAGACAGGATGTGGCTGGCGGAGTAAACGGCGTGACACAGAGAGATTACTGCACGAAGGGGTCGCTCTAACAGCTACTGCTTGGCCGTTGCTCGCAATATACACTACGTCATCAAAAGTACCCGGACACGTCCAACATGGTGTTATGGTGTGGTCGTGTTTGCACCCCTTGTTATTTTGGATGGAACAGGCCTGCGTTGACGTTTTAAACACCTTCTTGTTGAAGAGCAATTCGGGGATCGCGATTTCATCTTTCAACACGATCGAGCACCTGTTCACACTGCATGACCTGTGACGGAGTGGTTACACGAGAATTACATCCATGTAATGAACTGGCCTGACTGGACTCCTATCGAACACCTTTGGGATGTTTTGGAATGCCGACTTCGTGCCAGGCCTCCCCAACCTACATCGATACCCCTTCTCAGTGCAGCACTCCTTGAAGAATGGGCTGACATTCCCCAAGAAACCTTCCAGCACCTGATTGAAAGTATGCCTGCGAGAGTGGAAGATGTCATCCCTGTGGTTCAACACCCTATTGAATTCCAGCATTACCTATGAAGGGCGCCACGAACTGCAGTCATTTTCAGCCACGTGTCCGGATACTTTTGATGACATAGTATAAGCGCAAATTACGTCCATACACTGTTTTTGTCAATGCGTTCGTTTACAGTTAACTCGTTTGTAAATGGTTTCATCATTCCTTTGCAATGTCATTGCCCTGCAGGACGTTCAGTAGGAATCGTCCTGTCCAAACAGTTCCTTTTTAAAGTAATTCCTCTCGCACATGTCTTTGAGTAGCCCCGGGAGAGGAGCACACGGTCGCACGACCTGAGTCTCTAGATGGGCGCCTTTGATTTTGTTTCTGAGCGCGTCAACTGCTATGGTCGTTTGCTCCGCAAGTGTGATGCATGTTATATCCCAAGAGATGACAGTTTACCTTCTCCTCTGACATGTGAGATCCTGCGCTAACCTACGCGTCGCTTCGGGGTGTTTTTGCTTCCTCCAGGTTTGTCACCGAGGAAATGTACACGAAAATAAAGTTTAAAATGTTACTAAATATAATAATATGTTTATTTACATCATTGACTCGCGTCAATTTATTTACTCGCGACAAATATTATCTCATATATCATAGTTGCTTTCATTACTGCTCTTTTGCAGTGACGTATTTAACTGCGAGGTAGTACTAAGTTTCGTTCGAATACGCGCGTTGAAGTCTCTAACCCAACTACAAAGAAGATACCTCATTCTATTGGGAAAATTTCGTATTGACGGTAAAAGCCCCTTCATCCCAAGATAACAACTTTAAACTATTTAAAGGATTCTTGATCTAGAGTCTCCTACTCATAATCTAGCACTATTATGATTATTACTTTGGCACTAGCATGATAATTACACTCATGAGTGAAATATATTACCAAAAAAAATTGTTAGAAATATCCTTATTGAATCGGTCATAAAGATATCAAACGCTGAAATGTTTTAGAGCTAGTGTTACATGTGAGTGAACATGTGGTACTACATTTCTTTCATAACGTTTCTTTGTAGAACACTCTAGTGGCATGATGCCAAACGTCTCTTAATTGTGATTCAGATAGCTGTTTTCGTTTTTGCTGTGCCCTAAAGAGCAGGTTATTTTATTGAATTGATTATTCTGCTCAAAACAATTCTTTAATGGCTTAACGAGCTTTTTATAGAGTTTTGAATTATGGAGAGTGCGGTACAAAATAATCTTGGTTTGTAACTTCCATAAAATTAAGAAATATTTTCTTAAATGTTCTATGCACGATATGAAATAATGGTTTTCATTACTGTCCTCAAAAATCGAAAGATTATTATTCATTTAAGTAACTTTTATGATTTTTTTATATTATTCAGTAATTCGAATTATCGCAACTCAACGAATCAATTTTTCGATGAATCAACTTTTCGACGAACCGATTTTTCTACAAATCGATTATTTAACAAATTGATTTTCCAACGAATCGACTTTTTTACGAATCGATATTCTTGGGAATCTATTTTTGGACTATCGATTTTTGGACGACTCTTTGTCTTTTTTGTTATTGTTTTTTGTTTTTTTGACGAATTGATCGACCCCCCAAAAACTTTCGAGTCTGACGTACCGCAATGCTGTTGGTGGACACGTCATCCAGGTCGTTGTCGACGGCGACCTTCTTGAGCGCGTTGGGCTTCTCGGCGAACTTCCTCGCCTGCGCGTGTACCAGCTGCGTCTGGGGCTCGGGCTGCGCGGCGGCGGGCAGGGCGGCGGCGGCGGCGGGGGCGGGCACGGACAGCAGGGCGGCGCCGTGCGCGCCCGCCAGGAGCGCTAGCATCGCCCACGCCGTCAGCGCCACGCGCGTCTGCTTCCAACTGCTGCTGCGGGAACGGCTCATCTGCGAAGCAAAAGCGAAAATGGAGGTCAAGCGACGAGTTCCGAAAAGTAAAGCGCACAAGGAAAGAGTTATGAATATTAATTCAGGATTGAGTAGGTATCAACCACAAAGTATTACAATATAAATTTCAACAAGAAAACACAGCTATACACGTATTTCAGTACTACTGAATCCTATCTTCAGTGGGCAAGTATCACAGATTAAACACCACTGAAGAGGGCATAAAGAAGACCCGAAAACCGTGTATGGCTGTGTTTTCTTATTGAAATTTATATCGTAATACTTTGTGGTTGATACTTCCTCAATCCAGAATTATTATCATGGAATGCCACAATATCTCTGCTGTCATCACGGAAGTAGTTATGAACGTTATTAGGTCGATATGCAGCAAATAACGGACGTGGTTGAAGTTGGTAAACCGAGACGATAATCGAGGTTTATAACCTTAGGGGTGACTTAAAACAAAAGAGGGCAGCTATGTTTCTGGGACACCTCTGGCATTCCTTTTCCATTAAACTTTTATGATTACTTATGACATTTTCCTCTAATAAATATATAAAACTATAAAATAAGGTGAAATTTAGTGTCACAATTAAGAAATATATTTTATATCAAACCACTTACATTTCACATTACCATTTACAAACTATTTACACGGTTGCCAAATGGTGTGGAGAGCTTCTTTCTCGAATGCCATGTATCAATTTTCAAAAATATCAGATTAAAAGGGAACAATAAGAAATTGTTCATATTTGAGAAAATACAATTATTTAGCACGTAGGGATTCTTTCAAAACATACAGCCCAGCTTTGGAAAAAAATCATAAAAATAAGAAAAAGCATATCTTATTTCTATGACTTTTCTCATAAGAAAATGGTGTTAGGAAAAATATTACACTACACATGGCCTCTGATGCCGTTATATCAATACGGTGGTAAAGGACTAAGAGAAAATACAAAAATAAAATTCATGGCAGTCAATTCACGGTTGTCAACATCTCTAAAGAGCTACGTGACAATTTTTTAAGCAAGCAATTAATCGAAATGTGTATTTAAATCGCTAAAGGGTTTTTGTTTAGAATTAAATTTGAGTTTTCTTCTCGACCAAATTTCGTGATTTTTTATTTAAATGAAAGACAGAGTGCCCTTGCTGTGTTCCGCGAACTCGTTCTTTGCAGATGCTACATATTTACTGACATTGTCCCTTTCCCACATATGATGTTGGATCCTTTCGACTCCGCAATCTCCAGCCATCCCAACTGCCATTAGAAGGTTCAACCATCGACTAGCATTTTTATCAAAGAGAATATTCCTCGGTCGAAATGACTGAGCTCGAACGATTCTTTAATTTTTTTAGAATTACTTAACGAAATTCCCCTAAGACCCTTTTGCTCTAAACAGATTTCCTCTATGTACAGAGGAAAATACATCAAACTGAATCACCAAAAGTCTATTTTCATGTTAAACGTTTAGTTACTAATTTTTAATATTTTTTTTCGAATCCCTGAGTTATCGTTTTGTAAGTGCTGGCTCAAGTGTTAGTAAAATGGGAGAATGTTTGTTTTATTGTAACAGCTGCTTTAATTTAGACGTGCACTTCTGGTAGAAGATCAAAATCGACCCAATGGTCTGATGTCTGGCTTTTCTCCCAGTCATCGGTTTTCAACAGCTGGATGCAATGCTACTACGATAGAAGTGGCAATATATTTACACTACCAAACCGATTCAATTAATACGACAAAGTATGTTTTGCTGCAGCTCCTTCAGTTCAGTCGACACTTCCTTCGTGCACCTCTGATAAAAGATGGTAATCGACCCATGGTCTGGGTGCAACACTGGCTGATGCAACGCGGCTCCGTTGGCCATGACCGTGGCCGCGAGAGAGAGCGCACAGCCTACATAGCTTCCCCTCCCCTCCCCCGCCCCCCTCCACCGCCTCCAACGCTTTCTCCGGTCGTCGTGCCCGCCTCGGCGACCGCGACGCCACGCGGCACGGAGGGAAGGGCGAGTACCACAGGAAACAACTCTCGGCTAACGGAAAACGAAATTCTTTGGAATTAGGCGGAGGAAATGTTCAAGTTGCGAGTAGGTCCTGACAAAGGCAGTTCCGGGGAATATTTGGAAAGAAATCTTACCACGAAACTCGGAGAAACTTTTATAAAAGTTGAATTAAAAATTGATGACATAATTTTGATTTTTTATACACTTTGTATTATTAAATTTCTCCAATATTATTTACTTTATAAATGAAGAGTAACTATACGTACATAAACAATCGGTAAACATAATTAATACAGCAAAGTTTCCTCCATTCACCCTCTATATATTAAAAATTAATCACTTAAAGTTTCTGAACAAACGGTTTGCATATAAACTCGAGTCAAAACTTTTGATCACTAAATCTTTATTATACTTTTTACTGCATTTTAATCTTGTTTTTAGTACATTTACAAATACAAATACAATACATTTACAAATTGTTTATCATTCAAAAAAGTATTTAAAAACGTATTATTTTATTCTGTAAATTTTCAGAGTCATAAGAAGATCTTCTGATCAGCGCGTGAAGAACAGAAACACGACAATACTCACAATAGGTGATACATCTGAAGAAAATTTACCAATCGTATTCATTAAAGATGTTTGAATAATAACTAAAGAAATAGTAAGATGCAAATATATTTAAATTGCACGTGATTATCGTATAAATATTTGACTACGGATCAATAAATTTCCACATTATAATTAAGGTACCTCAAAGTAATCAAAGTGCCTAAAAGAAAAATATATAAAAGAGATGAGTGACAAAAAAGGAAAATTTCAATATATGTGAATGTACAATGTTGAGTCAAAAAAAGCAAATTGATCTGAAATTAATGTTTCAGGAATATTCAACGAAATATTTCGAAAATATGAGACAAAACGTGTTGTTTAATCTCTTCCGAGAAGTTTATTGACATTTATTAAACTACGTTTACTTACTACAAATGTAATGAAATCCAGATTACAAAATTACACTGCGTGAAAGCAAGCAGTTGCCACAAATAATACCAATTAATTAATTTAATTTAGTTTAAAAGTTTATAATACGAGTATTTCTATTGTACAATATTTGTTACATGTTAATTATTAAATTGTATAAAATTTCACTTCAAATATTCTACTGAACATATTTTTATTAATAAAGTTTTATCGTCTAGCTGACTCAGTTATTTCTGTGAGAGGACAATGTTAATGTGACATGACGAAACTTCAGATGACTGTTGTAGGTACATCCTGTGTTAACTATTTTATGGGTAAACATGATTGACTGTAGAAAATTGCAAATGGTTGTTTTTGCACGACCTCCAAATTACGCGAAAATGGACCCCCATTCATTAACGTTGTGCGTTACGAAGAGAAAGTAAACGCGTGCTGAGTTGCGTCCAGATTAGGAAAACTGTGCTGCCCTCGCGTACTTTCTCGGCACACGCACGCCTATCGGAGAGGATCTGCGGCGTGCTTGATGCATATGTTGATGCTTCGATGCTATCGCGCACCAGATGTTAAGAAGATGTGATAGGCTTTCTTTCGTGTGCAGTTCTATCCGAATATAGGTTAGTCGTCAATATCTGACGATACTACTTGTGTGTTTGCCAAGATTCTCTAAAAGTACTGCGTGTTTCTAAAACATTACGCAGCAAATAGGAAGACCACTAAACATTTTTAAACGTAGTGATATGCTTCTCGCTGCCGCCTAATTTATAATGAAGGTCATCTTATGTTTGATTTATCTTCCTTAAAAATAAACAAAACTTCATGTAAAATAATACATGGAACGCAATTACTTGCTTTTTTAGGTAAGACTTTTTCTCCAGTATGTCAACATTCTAAAAGAAATTCTTATTAATGCAAAGTGTTTAAAGTTCGCAAAATCTCTAGCTGTAGCACAAGGTTCAATTGAGTCAGTGGAGAATCCAGGGGGCATATGGCCTCTAAGCTTTCATCCCAAAAACGAATTGTGTGTGTTATTTTACAAAAATTATTATAAACTAATGCTCATTGACCGCAACACATTTCAAAGCAGTAACTCAATGAAGCCTGAATGAGCATCATTTCAAAAATAAATTCTAGTTTTAAAAAAGGGCCACGAATATATGGGAGAGCGGAGGGGATTGAAACAAAAATTTCTCCTCTCCAATTAAATACGTTCGGAATCGGAAATGAGCTGCAAATGTCGAATGAGGTCAAAGGACCTAACCGCAGACGTTGTAAAACATCATCTCCAGTATGGCATATTCCAAGTGACATATTCCAGGGACTCACAGATTACAGTGACCAGACACGTAATAAATAGAAATACCAACATTTTTTTACTTATCACAAAGGGACTCCGCGACTCACAGTTTTAATTTTGATTATATGTGTTTTTACGGTTTTTATAAATTAATAAAATGATATAAAGTATTATGCATGTTCATTCATTCAATCCAAACAAAATTATTCAATTTCTTTCTTTGTGTACGTAAGAATACAGATATTCTCGCATTGATATTTATATTTAATGCCAATGTTTTACAAATTTATGTCGAAAAAAGGCCATGGCTTTGATGTGAAATAAAGGCAAAATATATCTCCATAACCTAGTGATGTATTAAAGTATATTATTCTAAAAAAACAATACAATTTTTTTCCAAAATATGACCTCAATGTTCCGTTTCCAGTGAATAGTCCGGAATATTTTTTACTCACAGCCAAAGACACTCACATTACAACCAAATCTTAAGATAAATTGTATTGCATATTGATCAAGAAGTAATGGTTTTCAGCTTCTGAGAAACTAAAACTGTATAAAACAAAAATGAATTCAGTGGGCTTCTGAGCCTCACCGGTAATGCCAGAGTTTAACGACCCGTATCGTTTTCAATGTAACAAAGCTAGGAGACGTGTGTTAAAGGAACGGCGATCTTCACTCATTTGAGCAAAGATTTCATGTGCGCTCCGGGCGGAAGCTAGCGTTTC